AAGAAAGAAAGAAAGAAAGAAAGAAAGAAAGAAAGAAAGAAAGAAAGAAAGAAAGACAGCCTGTTGTCTGTGCAAAAGCAGCTGTGAGATCATTTATTGCCCTGGTTGAGCAAGTTGTGTGAACACAGCCATTCTTTCTTGTTGCCCATCCACCTCAATTTCTGCACTGCTTGCATTCAAAGCCTTGGGGCTGGGGCAGGTGCAGCTGGTTTCATACAGACTCTGGTCTGCACAAGGGCTTTGTTCCCTTCCAGGATGGAAATCTGCCCCATTTCTCACGACAATATCCATTACAAGTTTCAGTCGGAGCAGGAAGAGATTGATGGCCTCCACTTTCAATCATCTCACCTCGACTTTAGGATTTGCCAAGCTTTTGTTTTGAGAGATACTTAGAACAGAGTAAAGAGAATGATGTTCCAAAATGCAGCAGTATTAAAAATTAATTATTTGTGGAATTATGCTAATCAGAGGTATGAAAAAAAGATTCTGGGTGGAAGGATGGTACGAAAGAAGCTATGGCTGGGAGACAGGCATAGAAAGGTGAAAATCAAGGATGAGAGAAAGGTACTTTATAATGTGTTTACAGAGTAGAAGCCATGAGTCCAGGAGGGCCCCCAAGTCATGGACCTGCTCCTTCAGGGGCAGTGCTTCCCCTCCAGAGTAATTACTGGAACCAAAAGAGAATCCCAATGTACAAACAGCATCTCCATCTTGCTAGGGTTTAATTTCAACTTGTTCTCTCCCATCCAGACCCTCATAATCTCCAGGCACCAAGCTAGGGCTTCAGTGGCATTCCCAGTGTGTCCTGGAGTCATGATGTAGAGCTGAGTATCATCATACTGAAGGTACCAGACTCCAAAGTATCAGAAGCCCCAACAGCTTAAAATAGATATTAAATAATGGGAGAGATAACTACCCTTGTAGGATACTAACTTGATGGAACATAAGCAAGCAAACCTCTTTTACTGTAAACTGCCCAGAGTCACTTCCTAGTGAGATGGGCAGTGACCAAATTTGAAATATAAATAAATAAATTAAAATACCACAAGGGAGCAACTATCAAGTGGTCTCTCTCCACCACCACCACCACCACCACCACCACAACTGGAACCATCTGCTAAGGAAGGAATGGAACCACTGCAGAATAGTAACACCCCCCATCCCCAACCCCCACTTTAGGTCTAGGAGGATATCATGTTTGATGATGGTACTGAAATCCAGTAAGAGGTCCAACAAGACCAGTATAGGCATCTCCATCCAAGTCTTGACAAAGATTATCCATCAATGGAGCAATTGATGCCACCTCAGTCCCATGCCTGGGCCTGAACTCTAACTGATATGGGTCCAGATAATCTGTTTCCTCTAGAATGCTCAGTAGTTGATCTCAAACCACTGTCTCAACAACCTTCACTAAAAAAGGAAGGTTGGAAGCCAGGTGATAGATGTCAAATGCTCTGGATCCAGAGAAGGTCTCCTAAGGAACGGATGCATCACACCTCTTTCAAAACTACCAACATCATCCCCTCCCACAAGGAAATGTTAGCAACCTCTTGGATCCAGAGAACTACTCCACCACCACCACCCAAAGGACCAGGAAGGACAAGAATCCAGCCCACAGGTAGCTGGGGACACTTTAGACAGCACCTTATTCACTTCATTGGAGATAACAGGCTGAAAGGAACTCCAGATAACCCAACCAGACAATACCCCAGTCACCACACTAGGGCCCATCCACATGGAGGCCAGATTGGAGCAATCTAAGAAACTTTACTGGCTAATTGGTCACAGTAACCAGATCGAAACTCCATGGGCCAGCTCTTATCCTAGAGGGAGTTGGCCACCTGAAACAAGACCACTGGATGGCAACCTGCCAATGCAATAATCAGTTGTTGATTAAGCTTGCCTGTGAAAATGTTTTGCAGTATTCTGATGTAAGAGGTGACAGTGAACAAAATCTGAGAAATGCAGGGTGATGTGCATTCATGCCGAGTGGTGGATGTTTTGGCCTTCAGCAGGTCACTGCAAAATGTATGAATGTGAGCAATGAAGTTTATTGTACATTTGCCAATTTAGGGAAACTATGATAAAATGAATAGACATGAATTACAAGATGTTTTCATAGAGTTGGAGGTTAGTTATTGAATAGGATAAGAGAAGTATATGATGGATGTAAAGCATGCTTGAGAATAAAGGGAATGCTTAGTGAATGGTTTTCAGCATTGTGCAGTAATTAAGACAAGGATGCTTAATTCCTTTTGGTTGTTTAATGTGGTTATAGAGGAATGTATTCAAGGTGTGTTGACTGGGGACATGAATGTGTATGAATGCAGCTGATGCCATGTGGTGGAGTGAGAATCCAAATGATTTGCCGCATATGTGATATAGGCTGCATAAGGAGTACCGATCTGAAAATTAATATATCAAAGTAGTTGTGTTTGACTGAGAAAATGGAGGAAATGATTGCAAGTTATATATCTATAGGGGAAAAAAAGAGCACGTAGATGAATTTAGGGTGTTTATTCAAGATGGAAATAGGCAAATACCAGTAGAAAGGGAGTAGGGTATATGTGGTCTGTTGTGAAAAATAAACATTTGTTGCAAGAAAAAAATGGCTGTGTATAAGTGTCAGAGTCTGCAAAGCTCAATTCCCAATCCCAGTAAATCCTCTGGAGACCGATTTGTTCCAGTAAAGATTTCTTTATTGAGAAGAAGCATACAGCATTCCAAAGATTGCTGAAACTGAATTCCCCATGGCCAGAGGCTTCCCTTTTAACCCCCCTTCCTGCTGGTTTCCCGCTTGATTCCTTTCGTGCCCTTTCTCCGATCTCACGGTCATCCGGCCTTGCTCTCACCTCAGGCCTTGATAACGGCCATTTGGCTTTTGTTGTTTATCCCGTGCTCCCCTCCCTTGTTTTATGGCAGGAACAAGCAAACAATCTATATAACCTAACATTCCTGCAAACTAACATCTGATGTATAGCTATACTGAATAAACGTTCTATATGTATCAATTCTCTAACAACTCTACTCTTTGGCCCCTTGACAGTTGATTGATTGCGAGGATCCTGACGATAAGAGTGTGGCTTTGGCCATTCTGTTATATGGAGGACAGAATTGAGTGGTGGGTATGTCAGGAAAAACA